TTTTTTTTTTTTTTTTTTTTTTTTTTTTTTTTTTTTTTTATCACGAGGGACCTACTTAACTCATGGTGAGCCAAAGCCATTTTCTTGGCTTTGCCCTGGCAGGAAGAGCCCCTTTCATGGGCTCTCTGATTGGCAGAGAGGTCCTGGGGGAGAGGAGGTGGCCGATATCTCAACTGCTGGCTGCTCTTCATCCTGCCCAACATCTGGTGCCTTTGCTGCCTGGGTTGGCTGGCTCTGAGGTCCATCCAGGAGGGGAAGGCTTAATAAAAACTTTATTTATTTATTTATTTATTTATTCATTCATTTATTTATTATTGTGGATTTTGACCTGGAATTCATGAGCAACCCCAGATTTCACAGTCTCTGCAAAACCATGATTTATTTTTCATTCCCTATTCATAAGTAATGTGTTCTCTTGCACACCACTCTGAGGCCTTCTTGGGAAAAGCAGCATATAAACTGAATGAATGAATACCACTTAATTCCAGTGAGCACCTTGACTTCACACTAAGCCTATCTTCCATTTGTCTGGATTAACTTGTGAGCATCTCATAGCGGGACTTTAGTCTTTCCATACTGTTTGGTCAAAAGCTATTTTTGGTAATGTTCATAATAAACTAAATAGCTTAGAGAGTCAGACTATGACTCTCTTAGTTTTATATATGTGTAGGCAACAAGTTGAAAACTAATTCTCTTTACAACAGTCAAAAAATGTAGTTTGCCCTGCCAAAAGATCTCTGTTGTTATACTATAGAAAACATAAAGCAATAAGAACATCAAATAATTTAATAAATACACAAAAAGAAAAAGGGAATAAAGAACCCACACAAGCAGCAGCAACAGCAGAATTCAAAAAAGGATGCAGCAGTCCTGGGAAAAAAGCCAACTTCAAATGACCTGTCACAAGAAAGCAATATGATGTCAGAGGGGTGTAGGTTGTATTTTCATAGAAAATTATGGATTAGATTCAAGAAAAAGATTCTCTTAAAAACTTAAAAGATTAAGTTTGTCTTAAATTTATATTTGGTATAGAGCATTTCAGGTTCACTTTTTTAGACTGTTCTATGAGCATAAGGGCTGACAAAGTCGCTTTTAAATTAAAATTGAGTTTTCTTTGACTATGACTCTCCATGGTAGCTGGGTTGAAGGAAAACTCTTAACATTTATACTATCAATGGACCATTGATGCTATGTTACCTTGCCATAGGAAGCTAACACGACATTCAGATGAAGACCTGAGGGTCAGACATCTTGTTTAGGTTAGCTACTTTTCCAGTTCACCTTCTTTTGTTCTTTGGGCCCTAAGGTACATGAACCTGTACTGACTAGCCTTATACTAAAGTAAGATCAATTCAGGTCAACTACTATTTTGGTGTACTATGAAGGTATTGGTGATGGTTCTGTCCCACTGAAATGGCAAAAATTTAAAATCTAGAATTTAAACTTTAAGGATTACTAAATTAAACATCACAGTTTAATTAAAGATGAATAGATACAAAAATAATTGAAAAACGGATCCCTTTTTCATTTTTCTTTATAACCCTTTTGCAAAATATTTAAAACACTGTGTTTCACCCATCCGGTTGCTTCTCTTATGCTGATGTGCTTGAATATTAGTTACAAGTGGGCATGTTGAAACATTTTAGCCATAGCAGTAAGTTTGAGCATCTAGAACAGTAATTTTCAACCTCTTTTCATTTGCAGACCCATAAAAAAATTTTGAATGGAGGTGCAGACCCCTTTGGAAATTTTGAATGGAGGTGTGGGCTCCTTTGAATTGTAAGTGTGGGTATTTTCATTTTTTGACTGATCATAGTCATCTTTCACAGACCCCTTAGACATAGTCTGTTGGCTCCCAGGGGTCTGTGGACTGCAGGTTAAAAAACATTGATCCAGGTGAACCTGCCAAATCTGTTGACATTTCTGCCTCATTGTAATTCACCTCATTGCCTCACCTATTCCTGTGAGCAGCAAAAAAATATGAGAAACTGATACTTTCCAAATATTTTGAAATGCTAAGGGAAAATTCAGTGACCTCACCAGTGTTATGAAAAATGTTTTAACCATACTGATATAGTGCAACCCACTGGTTGAGTAGATATTCTACATCTACTTAGTGTTTCTCAATCTTTTTAGACTCATGACAACCCTTGTTAGATTCAAAGCCCTTCCCCACCCCTGCTTGGAAAATGCCAGCTCTTAGTTTTCCTTCGGTTTTTGACTTCGGAAGAATAATAAAGCAATTCTTCTGTTGCAAGAAATTCAAAGCTCACAACAGGCCAGAATGTTTTTAACACTATGAATGGCTATCAATTCTTTTTCGAAATTTCTGGATTTGTGAATCATGTCTGCATGATTAACAGTGCTAACATTATGTTGCATGCTATGGCACCCTTGAAAAGTTCTCAAGGCACCCTAGTGTGCCACAGCACCCTGGTTTAGAACAGTGGTTCCCAACATTTTTTTGCTGTGACCTGCTACGGGGAGTGGAGCGTGGTGGTTTCCCAGGAGCGGGGGAACTCCCGGCATGCAGTGTAGCTTGTCTTTTGTGTGCAGCACTGCCGGCATTGCCCCTGCAACCCTCACTTGGGTTGCAACCCGACGTTGGGAACCACTGGTTTAGAGTAACCACTTTATATTTTGTATTTAAATTTGGGAATAAGGGTGCCCTTTCAGGGATGTGTCCTTTGCTTTTTCCATGAAAAAAAACACCTATGTGTGTTGAAATTATAAACCTTTGAAAAATCTGTTTGCACATGTCCAGTTAGGACATGTTAAGAGTTTGGCAGCCATGTTCTCCAAAGATTTCATTTATACTGAGCTAGTTCCATCCTGAAGATGTATTGACCAAAAAGGACTTTCCCTTGGCAGCTGTCATGTGGGGAACAGG